CGAGTTCTTGAGAAAAACTAAACTTGATAGATTTTCAGATTTTGTTTATATGGTTCCCATAGATAATAAAGCACATTTAGGATAGAGAATTTTGTAAGGTAAGGATCAATACTGTTTGAAACCAAATATTTTTCAGAACATCCGGATTTCGTTATTCAAAGAAGCACGTAAATCTGTTAATTGTAATATCAGACTCTTTTATAGTCGTTATTTATTGTTAATAAAGCAATTATTACTTAAAAGATTTTTATTCTCCAAAAACCAAAAACATGACTTGTATATTATTGACAAAAGTGACATTGTGTCATATATAAAAAGAAGTGGTCACGATCTTGATGGCTATTCCGCTACAGTTGCTGCCTAACTCTACATTAATCTTGAGGAAAGTCATTTTAAAAATAAAATTTAATATTAATTAGTATTGATGTTATTGTTATTTTTATATCTTTGTTTTTTTTATTCTGTATGTTGTTTTTTCTTGAAATGAATTATGTTTGTGACTTTCTATAGATAAATTGGACTTAATTATTAAATCAGTTTTATTATAAAACACTAAATATTTCCAAAATTAGGCGTTTTTCGGATAAAAGGAAGGGACAAAAACGTAGAACATGAAAATGTCTAATACAAAAATATATTACGTAACCCCCATTGGCAGACAAAAAAAAGTTAGGGGGGGTTAAGATAATAAACCCCTTGTAACTAACGCCCTCTATGTGGTAGGTGATAGTTAGGCTCAAATTATGATTTGTCATTTCAAAAATCCCTGGTATATTAATTTTAAGCCATCTACTTAATAAAAAAATGAAAATATAATGAAAAACGTATTTTTTAAAATTAACTTTATCATTGAATTGAAAAAAATAATTATAGTGGTTTCTTACACTGACCTAAGGAATCTATGGTTAACGGATTGATCTACTCTTTTGGGACACCCTGTATACGTGAGAGTCTTATAGCTACAATTTTGATCTTTAACTATGAGATAAACTTGTTGAATAGCATGTTTAAAAAGTGTTTTCTCTAAAATTGTGTCCATTAACTACGAATGAAAACAACTATTGTTTACTGCAATTTGTTTAATGTTATTTAATTCTTTTGTGAAGTTTTTTTGGTAAATAGGATATTAACTATAATCTGTGGATCATACTGTTGTATGCTGCTAACTTTTATTTGTATAGGTGTATTGTAATTTTAGTATGTGATGATTTATGAAAAATGCCAAAACTAATGGTTTTATTAATAGGTATTTTAATGATAAAGTCTATAAAAGTTATTGAATTATCCTCTTCATAGTAAATTTAATATTAAGATGTATATTATTGTTAAAAAGTAATAATGAAGTTAATCGTATACTAGTACCAACGGAAGCAGTTAATACGTATTCAACATATACAGGGTGGCGCATCCTATACACGTCGGTCTCTGTAGAGAAAACGACTTAAAATTTGATTTTTTTTCTCAATACAGATATACAGGGCCATTAACACTACAAATTAAAAATAATTTGATTTATACAGGGTGACCCAAACATAGGAATTTATATTAAAATTATGTTTGATGGTGTCTGTTGATTCCCCGGAAAAAATAAAGTAACATTTCTGTAATGTTTCCTATACCTATTATTATTTTCGTTTTTGAAACATTTAAGGGATTCTTAATTTGTAAGCTTCAACAACATAATCTTAGTATGTCGCTATTATTTAAAACACATCAACAGTCACCTGCGATATGCGTATCCAAGATATCTGATTATCGAATTTGTAAATTTTTCCATTACATCATTTAGTCTAATTGAATTCAACTTATATATGAAGTTGAATAATATTCTTATTTTAAATGGCACGCCCTGTATTTAATAACAAACTGATAGACATTTAAATTATCTTTTATTCCATACAAGATTTCTCTATAGCTAAATTCAACCCCTATACCTAATTTCAACGGTTTTTTAGCAAATATCTGTGTTTGTGTTTAACATAGCTAATTTTTGTAAATACTTTTTCCCGTCAAAGTGACCATTGAATTTAAATATCAAAAGCGAGTTTGACATTTCTATTTAGTAAGTTAGATATCAAATGTACGAAAAAACGAATTTGAAACATGAAAACTTATTCTAAAGCAAAGAGAATTGATATTGTGCTTGTTCTTGGTGAGTGTCATGAAAACTGTTTATTGGCTTCTAGAGTTTACAGCTAAAAATACCCAGATCGAGAGAAAACTGACAGATGTGCTTTTGAACGATTACTACAAGAGTTTAAAGTTAGCGGAAACGTAGAATATAAAAAATTATTCAGCTTCAACTTATTGTAGGATATCATGATAATAAATTTTGGGTTATTGGCTCACTAATAGAAAACCCACACACATGTCATCGGGCTATTAGTAGAGAAACTGGAATAAGTAGGAGAAGTATTGCAGGAATAATAAAAAAACATAAATTTTATCCTTATAAGATACAGCTACAACAAGAACTGTATCAAAGGGACTTTCAACAAAGAATCGATTTTTGTTTATGGGTTATGGATAAAGTAGAATCAGATGCGGATTTTTTTGATAATGTTCTGTTTTCGGACGAGCACACGTTTCATAATAATGGACTCGTTAATCGACATAACTTTCATTACTTTAATGATGAAAATCCTCACGTCTTTCATACTTTCGATCATCAGCATAGGTGGTCCTTGAATGTGTAAGGAGGAATAATAGGTTTACATGTCATTGGTCCTTATTTTTTACCGGTCATCTTAATGTGGATGCAGTTGGTTGGAGCCCCGCACATTTTCAACTTCGAGTACGGCAATACTTAAACCCCCGTTTTGTTAATAAATGAATCTGAAGAAGTGGTCCACATAATTGGCCTCCAAGACCTCCAGATTTAACGTCATTGGATTTTTTTTTTATGGGGACACATACAAAGTATAGTTTATAACACTCCACCAACTACTGCCGAAGATATGAAAGCTAGAATAAGAGCTGCTTTTCAGACAGTAACTGGAAAAATTCTTCTCAAATTGAAACGATCCTTTGAAAAAAAAAGTTCAGTTGTGTTTAGAACAAGATGGGCGCCCTTTGAACATTTTTTATAATTCATTTTTTGATTTGTTTTCAATTTGTTTCTTATTTTTTTTCATTTGTGTGTATTTTTCAAATAATTCAAATTTTCTTGTCATTAAATGTTTTTTTTTTATTAAAAAAATTATAGTGTTAGCTTACATTGAAACTATTTAACATTTAAAAGTGATAAAAATGTTTATTTCGTTCAATACCATATTTTGAGTGATATTTGCTTTATGGTTACTATAATTAAAAAATAATATGATAAAATCCGTATGTTAAAAATAAAAAAACAGCTATTTACTAAAGATTCATCGAATTTAGGTATAGGGAAATCTTATATGGAATGAAAGATAATTTAAATGTCTATCAATTTATGTTATTAAACATAGGGTGTGCCATTTAAAATAAGAATATTATTCCAACTCCATATGTAAGTTGAATTCAATTAGACTAAATGAGCACCCTGTATGATGTAATGGAAAAATTTTCATTTTATTTGATAGTCAAATATCTTGGCTACGCATAACACAGGTGACTGTTGAAGTGATTTAAATAACCGCGACATACTAGGTTATGTTGTTCAAGCTTACAAATTAAGAATCCTTTAAATGTTTCAAAAACGAAAAGAGATAGGTATAGGAAACATTACAGAAACTTTATTTTGTTTTTTCTGGGAATCAAAAGACACCATTAAATATAGGATATTTTCTTTAAGAAAACATAACTTTGATATAAATTCCTATTTTTGGGTTACTCTGTATAATCCAAATTATTTTTAATTTGTAGTGTTAAGAAAAAAAATTCAAATTTTAAGTCCTTTTCCCTACAGAGACCGACGCATATAGGATACGCCACTCTGTATATGGATAAGTTACAATCTGTTCACAATAAATTTATTTCGTATTGCCATAAAAAATATTATCCTCAAATAATAGAAAACAAAATTTTATCGAATTTAAATTTAATCAATCTAGAATCAATAGACAAATTTCTGATATGTTTATGCACAGAATACTTAATCGTCAAATAGACTGCATTGATATAATTAATCTCCTTCAATTTAATTGTCCTAATTATAATACTAGAAATATTAATACATTTTTTCTTAACTATGCAGCAACCAACTACTATTTAAATGCTCCCCTCCGTAGAATATCAAAAACTTGTAATCAGATATCAAATATATATAGTTTTATGTTCGTAAAGAAAGCGCTGTTAAAATATTTTCCAAATCAGTATATGTAATCTCTCTTGTTGATAGTTTTTAGTTTTTATTTTTGAGTAGGTATTATTGTAAATGATATGATTATTGTATAACTTTGTAGTATATTATTGTATAATTTGGTGGACACTTTTTTGGGCTAGTCCTATCTGTGTCCCAAATAAAAAAATAAATATCTAATACTATTATTGAAGATACCTAAATTATTGGACCACAAAAACAACTGGATAATCAATTAAACTAAATATCTTATAATGCAAAAAATAAGGATGTCTAAGGGGTTGCACTGCACTGCCACCTCCTCATACAATCCCTAAAAGTCTAGATAGTTTTATTATTATTTTAAATCATGTCTTTAAAATATTAAAACTACCAAATATATTTTATTAAAAAAATTTCAAACCAAATAAATATGTATTTTTACTTTAAATAAGTTTCATAACATTTATCTTCACATGATTCTATCTCCTTTTTGTAGCAACAATTCTATGTTTGCATTCGACAGTTAGTTAAATTTTTAAACACCATATATAGAAAATAATTGGAGTAAATAGACTTATTTTCTGATCAAAATTAAGATCACCCTGTAAAGTAAATAATAATAATACTTTTACTGGTTAAAAAAAAAACTTATTGGTCCTATTAAAATTAAAAAAATAACCGACTTAAACTCTTCAGAGCGTAAAACCGAACAACGTGAAAATAAAAAAGTACTCACTGCAATGAACAGCCGCATTTTCTTCGTGTAAAAGTCCTTCGAGAAACTTCGCAACAACCGATGGATAAAAAATTATGTGTACTCCTTAAGTCGTACGGATAACGCGTCGTCCTTTCAAGAGGCACTACTGAAACGATTCATACGTTCACAAAGAGTGAGAGTGACTTGGAATTCTTCAGGTGAAGTAGCTCACTATATAAACTAGGTTCATTCTGGGGGTATTTCGCATATTTTTTGCTAACAAGCGCTAATACCTTCACCATTTTTTTAATTGGATAGGATTCGGTTATCAGAACTAATAAAAATATTTATAAATTTAAAATAATGACATTTAAAGGATCACTTTCACGATTTATATTTCTAAAATTGTACGTTTAAATGGTATTTAAACATTACTTGTAAATATTTTATCCCCTGGTATGGATTTACATATAAATAAGTACAATATACCTTAGACATCTTCAACTAAAGCAAAAGATTTTTATTTGTGCGCATAATTTGAAGATGTAGAAGTATCTGCATTGAAACAAATTAAATAACGAACCAACTCCAATAATAGTAAATGTCAGATAATGGATTTAAAACGAAAATATGAATATAACTCATTAAACATAGAAACTTACAAACACTTCCAGCAAGTTTTTGTTTCGGCTTGTAAATAAAATTTATTTCCTAAGTGTATAAAAATTTATTACAAATTTGTATTTATAAAAGTTTTTAGTAAGTTTTTAAGAGAAAATTCATATTTTTAAACTTGAAGCAATCTTATGTTTGTATAATAATAATAATAATCTTTATTTATTAGCATGATAGCTAGCAAGGAACAAAAATACATAAAATATTTAAACATATACCAACAAAAAACAAAAAGTCTTAAAATGCAATAATAGAACTCTTAATATAGCCGATACAGGCTTTTTTAAATTTTTTAGATTATCACAGATTTTACACCTTCAGGTATCTCATTATATTGTTTCAGTCCTTTATAGTATAAGTCTTTATCTACATTAGAACGAGTGCAATGCTCATGTACACCTCTAAGAAATTTGCAGTTACTAAGTAGATGATCAGGTACCAAATTATTTAACATTTTATATGACTATCATGGTATTGCAAGTAACAATCTGCCTTACACTTAAAAAATTAGTTAAATTTAACATATCAGTTCTTCTAGTATACCGGTTACAGTCAAATATTATCCACATCGCTTTATTTTGTTTCTTTTGAAGTATATCTAGTTGTGTAACATTCATTAGGTATAGCAATGCAGAACAAACATAAAAATCTGATGTGTCCAACACATGACTTTCCTATCTAGTTATTATAGGCTTTTTCCGGTTATTTTGTACAACCTATTGCAGCACCTCTATAAATGTTTAGAGGATAAACTAAATATATACATTTTCCACATACTTACATCTACTTCGAAACATTTTTCTATAGATATTTATTGAAAACGAAAATACTGAAAAATTTAAATTTAGCACTCTTTCTCCAATTTTTTCATTACGGTCCATTTTAGAAAAATCTTTGTTCAAAATCTAATCATTTCACGTCAGGCCGAAATAAAACTTAAGTTTAAAATTTAATGTTTTTTTATCCGTTTTTGAGTTTTCTTCAAATTTCAAAATTTACAATTTTCTCAAATTTCTCGAATACAGTCCATTTTAGAGAAATTATGTATAAGACAAAAATTATAGAGAATTATATTACAACTTTTATTTAAACAATTTTTATAAAAAAATATTTTTTTACATTTTGTCAAATTTCTGGAATACGGACCATTTTAGGAAAATTTTGTATAAAACAAAAATTATAGATAATAATATAAAAAGTAACTTTTATTTAAAGAATGTTCTTCCCCAAACGTAAATAACAGATATATTACATAAAATATAAAAATGACCACCCATAAAGTACCCCCCCAGATGTTCCGACTCTGCCCAAAATCTAATTAGTTCATTGGACGCTAGAACAAAGCTTAAGTTTAAAATTTGGTGTTTTTCTGTGTATCGGTTCATGAGTTATGCGACACACAGACACACAGATATACACACACACACACACACAGATATACACACACACACACACACACACAGATATACACACACACACAGATATACACACACACACACACACACACACACACACACACACACACACACACACACACACACACACACACACACACACACACACACACACACACACACACACGCACGCACACACACACACACACACACACAAGCACGCACAAGCACGCACGCACAGACGCAGACACAGACACACACACACAAACACAGACATCATCGCGAAAATAGTCAAAACAGATTCAAGGGACCTCAAAACGTAAAAATCCGTCGAAAACTCGAGGTCGAAAAAATCATGATTCCTATACTTTCCTTATATCTGTATACAGATAGGAAAGTAAAAATAAGGAGCAATAATTATTGTTTTATACACTGTTAATTTTGACCATTTACTTAAATTTTTTGACATACGTCCCATGACATTAATCTTTCTTGCTTTTTTATTAGTAATATACTTAAAATGTTCAGAAAATGATAAAGTACTATCTATTATACACCCTAGATATTTAAATTGAGACATTCTCTCAATAATATTATTATCAATATCCCCCTTACCAAAGAGAACTTCACAAAAGAATTAAATATCATTAAACAAATCGCAGTAAACAATAATTTTAGTTCAAAGTTAGTAGACAACATTTTAGAGAAAAAACTTTTTAAACATGCTATTCAACAAGTTTATCCCATAATTAAAGATCAAAATTGCAGATATGTCTTACATATACCAGGTGTTCTAAATTAAAGCGTTACAGCTATATACCGCTTTTTATAAAAAAAAACGTTTCAGACGAAAGTTTTATAGTTTTGTAGGGAAAAACTTTTGGCTAAAATCGTTTTTTATAGCTAACCATAATATGGCCAACTTTTTTTTCGCGCAGCAACGTTTTCAAATAGCTGTTACTCAAAAAGTAAAAGTCCAATAAAAAAAATATTTCCCTCAAAAGTTTCTTATTTTTTTATGTACTTTAAGAATATGTAAGAAAAAAATGGGATTCCCATTTAAAAAAACAAAGTTCACCTCGGCCATATTATGGTCAGCTATAAAAAAATGAATTTAGCCAAAATGTTTCCCCCAAAAAACTATAAAACTTTTGTCTGAAACTTTTTTTTCTAAAATGCATATTTTCGGCGATATTTAACTGTAACACTTTAATTTGAAATTTGAACACCCGGTATAGGAGCTCCTAGTGAAAAGGTATCATATTTAAAAAACCAAAATATTAACGTAGCTTTTAAAACCAATAATACGCTTGGGAAGTATATTAAAAACAAAAAGGGTAAAATTAATTCTAATAATAAATCGGGGGTATATAAATTAAATTGTGGTAGTTGTCCAAAACTGTATATTGGTCAAACTTTCAAAAAGCGCTATTCCGAACATTATAATAGCTATACAAAAACAAAAATAATTCTACTTACTCAAATCATATTTTAGCTGAAAATCATTCTTTTACAGACAACTTTGAAATTTTACATATAGAAAATAAGGGCAATAAACTAAACCATTTAGAAACACTTGAAATAAATAGATTTAAAAGTTCAGATAACCTACTCAATGATCAATTATATATTAATAACTCACCCTTATTAAATCTCTTTCCTAGTTTTCTGTGAGATAATTCCGGTAATGTTACTATCTTATTGTTATCTGATTGATATCATAATTACCTAAGTACCCTTATTTACTTTAAATAGTTAGTTTATTTTGTTATGTTATTGATGTTTTCTTAAGTACTTTGTTTTATTAAATTATTTCGCATATATATTGGATAACGAATTGTAAATTAGTCACATTAGTCTAATCAACAAGTTCAAAAGCGTGCTTTTGGGACATACTATTACGAAAACTATGTGCAATAGCTCATTCGATTCGGAATAATGTCTAGATAAATGTGTAAAGAATAATTTTACAGTGCATAAAAAATTGCAAAAGTTATAAACAATTAAACACCTCAAAAACATGGTGTTTGGTTTTTCGCCTATAGTTTGTAAACTATAAATATTTTTGGATTTTTCAAGAAAGATCCTTAAAGAGGAGGAAATTTGCTATAAATAAGTTTCGACTTCCGGAACTGTACCTCTATTATTTATAATTTTAATTTAACGCTCAAAGTAGCCTTCCGTGCGCCATTTTTAGATTGCGCGCACGGCGTCGAAACCGAGTACGTTACATAAAATAATTTTTTTAAGTTAATAAAATTAAATTCAAAAATTTTAAAAAATTACGGTGTATTTTAAACACTTAGAGGAATTCATTCCTGTTGGAATTTTTTATAAAAATTAATTTTCCAACAAAGTAGGTTATTGTTAATTAACAAAATTTTTAGAATTTCTTTCATCATTACAAATTGATAAAAATATTAAATAATTACCGTAATTTTTTTTGCTTCGTGGAGCTCTTTTTAAATACATATAAAACAAAATAGCTTCGTAAAAAATGTTAATACTTTGTTTATAATAATTTTTTAAAGTTTACAAAAACAGAGAAGTCACAGTGCTGCTATAAATTTATTCAATTTATTATAATATTACTGTTTTAATGTCGAGGGAAAGACATTTATTAATTAAAAAAAAAAATGTTCCTCCATTTGTTTATACATTTTTTATAAACAAATGGTGTATTTCAATTTTTTTCAAATTTTTTTTTTACAACTTTCTAGACAATTGCCAATTATGATTTAAAAAAAAAAAATTTTTCTTAATAATAACTTTTAATTGTTTATAATCGTTTTTTTAATATATCTATTGTTTAAATTATTAATTAAGTTATATCAACTTTTAAGTCAACAAATGGATCAGCTGCTGCAACCTTGATAGTACGTATATTTTCAAAGTTTAATATAAAAAAATGGAATAAAATTTTTTCCGTAATTTTTATGCACTAGTCGTTTTTGGAATTTTTATTTCTTTCAGGAAAAAAATAAACCAAAGTTGGGAATTTGTTTATAACAAATTGTTAACTTAATAAACAACGGAATTATTAATAAAAAAAAATTTTTTGCTGTCACTTTGTAGAGGACTGTCAATTATGATTTAAAAAAAAAACACAATTCTTAACTAATAATTTAAAC